AAGTGCGGAGCGTTTTCTCGCTTACCACGACGAATTTGCCTAATTTGGAAGATAGCAATCAGAGATTCAGCTATCACTACCGGATGAGAACTCAAATTTCTTAGTTTTGGCCAAAGATTTCCTTTAAAATCTCCTATTTTTCCAAAGCTGCGATGTCATTGCCCAAGACAAGCGAAAATGCCGCTCAAGAAAGCTGTTCAGCCAATCCTTCAGAGAAACCTTGTTTCCGTGGTTACATCTGCCTATTAAGAATTGTTCGAAGAAAATCATAATCTTTTGGTACAGCCCTGGAAAATACAACAAAAAGGCCTTCATATGGTCTTATATAATCTTGGATGGATTACCGATGTACATAATGTTTTGAAGGTCAGCGCTCAAAATTAGTAGATTTCCTTAGCAGAACTACAATACATAGCACCTTTTTTTACGAACAAGTGTAGTACGTACTCATAGTTTTTGATTGACTCAAAGGCAAACATTACAAGTTTCGAAAATGCTGCTTTGTTGAGCCGTTGTTCTACCTCGCTTAAAGTGCGAGCAAAATCAAAAGCTTTGAAGAGACGGGAAACCAGATTTTGTGGAGCAAGGGGAGAATTTTCAGATTCCTCACAAGATTTGATCGAAACCTTGGAAACAAAGCATGAAAAGCGTTGGAAAATGTAGCAGAAAGTTTGTAAAAACTTAATATTCGGTTACAGGGAGAAACTTTCTCAAGGAATACAAGATATTTTTAGAGAAATGGGTGCAGAATGCTGCAACTGTGTTATGCGGTTGCCTTCTTTTCCATTATGACTTAAGATCTATTCCGTTACGTAGCTAAATTTCTGAACTGCACAATCAACTACTTAATGCACAGTTGATTTTGCTCTACAGGTCTGTACAACGACAAATTACCAGGAGAGAGTGGCGGTCGCAGATCTCGAATGAAACGTGGAGGAGCAAATGTGAGGGCGCGTTTTAAAACGCCACACCCCTTCTATAGTAGGAGTTGCTTAGAATAATAAAGATGTAAAAGAATTATATGTTAATTTAAATAACTTATTGATTTAAATGGTTTTTCTGTTC